TGCTGGTAAGAAATACTTGTCTTTTATAAAAATCCGTGTGCCCGGCTAGCTGCTGTTTGGAGATCAGGGTGAGACTCTTGCACCTTTTTGGTAGTGACCAAAACGTTCTGGTTTATTGCCCTTGGCAAATCAGGTTTGATCCCAAGTGGGACACCCGTCAGCCACAGCAGCGCACGCTGTATTCCTCGTTCAGCAGCAGCAACTCTCACAATGATTTCTTCAATAGCTGGTTGAAGCAGACTGTAGTTCTCCCAACTGCAACTTCAATCAGAATGGAATTTTCTAGATTCGACTACTGCAGTGCTCTCCATTTTGCTGCAGAACTGCAAATTGTTTGGTTGTGTGACTCAAAGATCCTCTCTGTGAACATAAAGGAACACAGAGGCACAACAACTGGTGGGGAACCCCAATAACAGCATCAGAGAACTGGAGCACCCCTACCCGGCTGCTCTCAGGGTTATTGTGGGAGCTCTTAATTTCCAAAACCTTCAAACCAGGTAGTACAACAGAAATGATAAGAGAATTTTAATGTGAGAAAAATGCATTCTGATTGTCTGTAAGACAACTCACTATCCATTTTTCAACAAGTACGTGCAGAGGGACTGAGATTATGTTTCTCTCAAGTCCTCATGCCGAGCACCGATGCCCTTTGCCATGTGGAAATTCAGCATGTAAGGACACATTTACCACATCACCTAACAGCTAAGCTGAAAATCCATCTGTAATTGCTATTCTTCCTCCTACTGTAAGTTATTACAAGTTCTGCTTATTGAAAGGAAACCTGGAAGTACTCTAATAAGAATATCTATATTTATTTCTGTGATCAAACATTTATAGTCTGCAAGTACTAAGATGAAGAGCTTCTATCCTATTAGGATAATCATGCATTTCTTTGTAAGGTTTGATACCTTCTCCCTAATAGCTTAACTGACAAACTAAGCAGAAGTACCTGGCCAGTGAATGCTAGGGAAAGCCTCCTTTCTTAACAAAGCTGAGAAATGGAGTGATGAAGGCAAAGCGACTTTTTTTAGATTTTTAGGGTCTTCCAGACAGGATAAATAAAAGGGATGACTTTCAACTTATTTAATGTTTGGTCCAAATTGATCTTTCATCCAACATACATCTGAGAAGTACATTAAAGTTATTTTTACAACACTTGCTGGAGTTACATATTCTGCCCTTTTTCAGAAGCAAAGCAAATGTCAGCACTGTGAAGCACTGGAAACTCACGCTGAATGTCAGAAACAGTGAGATCTGTAACTATGAAGCCTTGAACTTTTAGACCATAGGAGCCTTGATGCCTGGCAACTGCACACCGGGTTATAACTTGGAAAATGTCACAAAAGGATGAATTGGGATTCCTTGTAGTGCAAGTAGTGAAGTATGTCCAAAAGTGACATATAAAGCCCCAGGGCAAATAAAGCCATCCACGTGCAGTCCTTGCCAGCTGCTTCACAAAGAGATGCTCGTACCTGCTGTAATGGAAGTCACAGGTCTAACAATTTGAAATGGCAGCCACAGGAGATGGGAAAAGGTATTTTTTATATTTTTTTAAACACCATCTGGAAACTACTGCAAGGAGAGGCACAGTTAACGGTGCACCTAGTGATATACTGACTTTATTAACAAAACTATACATGGCACACAAGGGGTTAGCAAGAACTAGTAGATTAAAACCAGGTTGAGTCATCATTTACCTTTGCCCACAAACACAGTAGATCATCCCTGCACACTGCAACAGAGTGAACGTTTGCTTTTTCAAGAAAGGGATGATCGGTCAAATTTGAAATATCAAACTAATTCCTACTTTGACTCAAATGATAAACTTGTGTTTATCAGAGGGAGAGGAGATTCCCTTATTTAGATATGAAATGCATTTATGCATCATACCTATGTATGTGCCAAAACTGAGAGCAAGTTGATCTCATTTTGAAGTCAGTTCTGCTTGGAGTAGGAGGTTGTACTAGATGACTTCCAGAGCTCGTTTCCAACCTCAAGCCTTCTGCAGCTCTTCTCTTGTGGACTTCACCCAGGCTCTCACCCCACTCCCACCAACTGTAATGCTCAATGTCGACTGAATTCCACAGTGCACACTCAAACCCTCAGAGTTTAGTTAACACTCAGCCAGGCAGACCAGCCTTGGCTTCTGACTTCACTGTGCCCCAAATTCCTGCCTCCTGCATCACCTCAAGGTTGCAGTGGGTGGAAGGACTGAGCTTCTAGGTATCAGCAGGTTTCAGAATTCAAAGAAAGATGGAGAGACTGTACTGACTGTGGAGTTCACTGAAGTGACATGTTGGAAAGATTAACAGAAGCTGTGGTTCTGCAGGAAATGCTACAAAATCATGACACCTAGCCCAATCAGCACACGCTCCAGAAGACAGGGTTCTCATAATCCAGGCAAGGTCAAGTCCTTTCCTTCAATTTGGATCTTAAAAATCAACTTCCCTAATGCAAGTTCCCCCTTCCAGACATCAGCAGGATAGCTTGGGAAAAACTAAGCCTTCCAGAAAAATTATTAACCATCGTCCATCGTCCTTGAATAGAGCATAAACATGCAACTACATCACCTGGAAACATGTTTCTCAGATTTACAGAGACTTCTCCTTATTTCAGTGGAGACACTCAAACCACTTTAACAGGCAACTGATACTTCAGTTTTTGTGACCACTGAAGGACAGTGGGAGAGTAGCTGCTTCCATGCCACGCAGGAAACAGCTTTTCCCAAATATAAAATCATTCTCTGAGCATTTAAGTTTTCAACTAAGTTTTTGTTCATTTCTCAGAAGAGAGATACACACTCTTGTCTTCTCTCAATGTCACCATCCTAGAGAAAAACTGGCTATGCTTTTCCTATGGCAAATATAAACTTCTCGTTGTGCAAACACAGAAGAAGAAAAGCAGTAATTTTGCCACATATGACAAAAGCTCCTGAAATTTAATCAAATAAAATGAAAACTCAACCTCAAATGGCATTACTATTTATTACTCAAATAGTAATAAAATCTTTCAAAAAATACTTCAATGTTCTTTGGTTTAGTCCTTTTGCATGTGTCTACTGGTTGCTCATGCATAATAAATCAAAAGTCGATACTGGTTCCTTTTGGATTCCACTGGGAGAAACCTCCAAAGGTAAGCAGGCAGAACTGACATTTTAAGTTGTCTCAGTCAGTTTACAGCAGCAATATGAACCCGTGACTGCATCACATGTAAAACATGAAAACTGTACATGTATGTACACAGAACTGCCCTGGTTTATCTTGAAAATGGGTATATATCTATGGTGCCAGAAGAGCACTATATACACTACGCAGACCAAAATTACGTACTGGTGCATAAATGCCATAGCACAGGAAAGGTGTGCACAGAATGAGCAGTATTACCTCTTTTTCACTCCTTAGGCCATTCTGAAATGCTTTTTAGAGTCCAGTATGTGAAGAAAGCAGCCTGTAAGATCCACAGGGATGAGCAGTTGCTCATTTCCATCTCCACTACAGATATCACACTGCAGGCTCACCCAGTGCCTCAAGCCAGCATTCAGCCTTTGGTTCATAATCATGAATTTTTAGGAGACAGAATATCCTCATACTCATTGTCCACTTAACAGCTGGCAAGGAATGGCTAACAATCCTTCCCTTCTTTCACTAAAAGCATTCAACCTGCAGCAGTTGTTGTGACTTTTTGCCCGTTAAACAAACACTGATTATAGAAAAAAAAAGTAAAGCAGTCCCTTAAGCCCATATTCTTACATGAGATAATAGCTCTCCTTCGCTGGGTCCAATTTCAGTCTGCCATTCTACCAATGGCAGTTTGGGGCAATTCTCTCTCACAGCTCTTCTTTAGTGTTAACCCCCCCTCTAGTCAGAAGGCAGTGGAGACCCTCCCAGCATGGCGCTAACAGCAAGGCTTGTCACAGCAGAACCAAAACACCTCCAAGCTGAGGGAATCCGTGACCTTGCTGTTCTCGATATGGCACTATCAGCACGGCAAGGACTAGGGAAATGAGGACTCTGCCTTGGAACAGACCGCGGTCCTGCAATCTGATAACTGAAAGCAAGCCCCAACTTCTGTGGCAGTGGTGGCACATTCAACAGGACAACCCTTTAGGTAAAAGGGTCACATAGCAAGATTGGAGCGCTCTCTATGAATTTTAGATGGTATGTCCTCAAAGCCCATGGTTTTTGCTCCCCCTTCTCCCCAGCTGTGAAAGCTCTGTGGGATTCAGTGCAGTGCACAGCAAAAGCGAGAGCAGCAGCAGAACCTCTGTGTGAAGCACTGCACACACTGAGGTTACAGACATCTTTCGTAAGTCTTTCAACTGATGCACTAACATATTAGGACTCCACCTTCACCTTGCTCTCCGAGCTCCTGAAAACTAATACATTTATCAGAATTTCTTCTTCCCAATAACTCTTCACATTCTAAAGGAAAGGGATGGACAATACAATATTTGGAATCTTTCTGCTTGAATCTAATAGGAATCTTTGTGCCCAGATTGAAATCTGAATTTCTCTGTGGACTTACCGCTGATGTTTGGTTTTGCAGTTCTTTTTTTTTTTTTTTTTTTTTTTTTCCCTTACCAAAATGTAGGCATGGCTAAAAAAGTCCCCAGATGCTTAGAAATTACATTTTGAAAATGTAATATTTTGGAGAGGAAATTCCTATTCATGAAGATGAATTAACATAATTCATACTGAATTCTTACCGCATATGGATCATGCAGGTGCACAGAAAATAATACTAGTATTACTAATAATAATACAGCCATGATTGAGAAGACAAACGAAGCACTATGTCAGGATCAGAGTCTGCAAATAGGCATGTGGTTACTAAAATGTTCAATGCTAAGTATTATTTTTACCAAAAGTAATGACACTACCAATCGGAATTTCCATGTACAGTTACTCTTTTTTTTTTTTTTTTTTTTTTTTTTTTTTTTTTTTTTTTTGTAAGGTAATTCTTCTGACCAGAAAAAAAGGGAGGGCAGATTCATGTCTTACCTGCCGAGGGGTCCTCTCGGATTTGCTCCGGCACCATTCCCAGTCTGTGAGCTCCGGCTGCTGGCTCCGCTCCGCGCCGCTCCCGCTCCCGCTCCCGCTCCCGCTGCCGCTGCCGCTCCCGCTCCCGCCGCCGCGCCCCCGGGCGCTGTCCGCCGGCCCCGTGGTGCTGAACGGCGCCTGCCCGCTCCCGCTGCCGCCGCCGCCGCCGCGCCCCGGGGCGCTGTCCGCCGGCCCCGCGGTGCTGAAGGGCTCCTGCCCGCCGCCGGCGCCCGCGCAGCTCTCGCTCGCCGGGTCGGGCTGGGCCGCGGAGCTGCCGCCGCCGCCGCCGTCGGGGTGGGTTTCCTGGGATATCCTGTAGATTCCATAACCTTGCTGGAAGGACAGGTTGAATTCGAAACCCCGGCGTTTGGCTAAGTAGAAAGGGAAGAAATGTCATATTAAAATGGGTCAAACCCAAGAAGAAGAATGAGATTACACAATGAAAAGGACATTCTAAACACGGAATAAACTAACCGTTTTTCTAGCAGTCATTTTCTATTCATAAAAGCAATGAGTTGCTGAGAGACTTCTCAGACATGTTACTATATCACCTTCGTAATGCATTCAGAACTTACACATTCCAAAGCCAAAGGATTCCCAGAAACTGGGAGATTAGCTGCCATTTTCAAAAACACACAATACGTGATGTTTTATGGGATACACAGAAAAAGAAAACATTTACATTTTGTAATACTCCCTTTTTTTCACAGCCTGTTTCAGTTAGATTCCTAAAGGTGAAAAATCATACAAAATGGTAAAACATTTCTGAGAATCTGTAACAAACCTTCAAAATCAATAGTCAAGCAACAAAACCAGAATTCTACAGTTTTTTTTTAAAAAATCAAGTATTTACAATGATATTTTTGTATATTCTCCATTCTAAATCCAGTGCTCCATCTAATCTTACACAGTAATTGAACAATTAAATAAAAATTCTCAATCATTACTTATACCTTGTCATTCTTCCTCCTTTCTAACACCAATCCCCTGAGATTCTTCATCCTCCCCTTTTCATCCTACATTATGTAGTAACTTTCATTTAACGAATAAAATCATCTTCCCAGCAAACCTTTCATGCTAAATTTGAAAATAGAAGATATGAGGATACCTTTATACAACCTCTATTCCTACTCAAGAGTTTGTGCGCTCACTAGAGCATATATAATTCTGGGTGAAATTCAGTCCTTAGCAGTCATTGCATTAAAATTGAAGAATGGTCTTTAGTACAGGTATCTAAAAGTCACAGATTTAAAATAATTTTACAATTGCTACTTTTCCACCTGTTGTACATTTATCTCTCCAAACAGCATTATTAAATACATCTGAAGTCAACTGCCTTCTCGATGAACTGCAGTCACACCCTCTGGGAAAGCGGCTAAAAGGGCTCCAGTCGCAGCACAAGCCGCTCTGCGCTTGGAGGGCGTGTTCGCGGCAAGAGAAAGCCCTGAGTGGGAACAGCTTTTCTCTAGGATTCAGGAGCTTTCTTGCTCCCGAAACACACAGCGAATGTCAGGAAGTCATCCACTGAGGATGTCAGAGGACTTTCACTCCAGAAAATGGGAAACAATACCCAGAGCCTTAGAAGTATTTAGCTTTTAACTTCTGCCCTTGGACCAGAGGACCCTTGTAGGTCCCTTCCAACTGAACTGTTCTATCCTACTCTAATTCTAGCTTTCTCAGTAAAACTTGCCAACACTTTCAATTCCCTTTGGACCAGGCCTCAAGGGACAACTGTATTGAACTCTAGCACTGCTGCTTTCACTTCTGAAAGATTAATGCATAAATCTATCATTTTTATACACAAATATAATTGCAGTATTATAAATAGGAAATTATATTTCTGTTAAAGTTACTCCTGATAATAATTATGATCATAAATTTAAAAAAATTAGCTATTGGTCTGTTTTCCCTCCTTGTAGGCTTCCGTACTGATATTTTTACCAGAACGTATTTATTATATGCTAACAGAGATCTGACAGATACAGATGCATTTAATATCCTGTAGCAGATTTCTATGCTTCAAGCTTTCCGCAATTACCTACCGTTGAACAGCTGAATTTTTTTAAGTCCGTACATTTTTGGTTGTCCCAGAAAATAAAATTGTACAAACATATATGCATACATTTGTGTGTTGTGAATGTAAATTAATCACTAATAAAGATACCGAACTTATATTAATAGGTATAGTAAGCTTCAATAAAACATTTTAATAACAAAGGCTTCTCTCAGAAGAATACCAGAAACTTATTTTCATTTGTGATTCAAAATGCAGTTCCCCTGTGCAGATACATGAGCACTGGTGATTGAGGTATTTCATAAGTAACTGTGGCCAGGAGAGCTACAGGAAAGCATTATGCAGTCTTTTCACCACAAATATGACAATGTTATTCATGTTCACAGAAGCCTAAAGGTGATTTTCACTAGAGATAAGTTCATGCAGTGGCAGCTGTATTTCTTTGTCTTCTGTTTCTCTGACTACTACCACATGATCAAGTTTTTTTATGAAAAGAACAAAAGTCTTGTCACTGCAGGAGAGAGGCTGTAGCAATTGGAGTGTGCAAGGATTCCTCCAGCTGGTTTTCCATGGAGGAAAAAGAGGGCTTTAGAAGATTCCAAGAAGGTGACCAGTGAAGGTCTGGCATCCTCTGTTACACCAGGATAAACTTCATAAAAATGAAGGGAAATATTTTTAGGCAGAAACTGCGTAGGAGTTCCTCAGATTTCAACAAGCAGCATGAACACACGGAGACACAGACCCCTCCCATAAATCACGTCCGTCGCTATTTGCTTATTGGTGTCGCTGTGATTTCTGCTTAGTAGCTACAGCGCAGGTGTACAAACAATAGCTCCTCTCCTTATAATTTGCTCATGATTAGCAGGTTTCCCCCCCCCCCCCCATGACATAAAACATGTTTAGCATGTTCCATGTATTTGTTTAGTAGAAGCCAGATTTTGGTGGGTACAACTTTACCACGGTAGGACAGGAGAGAAAAACTAGAATTCAGAGTCCATCAGCTTCTGCTAAAGGATCTGACAGTGACCTGGGAAAATCAGCCAAGCTTCTGTGCCTCAGCATCCACTGTTTCCCTCCAGCCCTCTCACATCAATGTTGTGAGTCTCATATATTGTTCTGAATAGTGTCTATATAAGTCAGGGAAATGATTTCAAGGAGTACAAAGTACTGTTACTAACACTAACATCCTATCCTCTGTATTCCAAGATACATTCCAGCTGCGTGTCACCCTTCTGTACTTACTTTTGAGTTCTTCTGAAGACACTGTATATGAATTCCTCCTGCAATTAATGATGCAGCCACAGGGCAGGTGGATCCAGTGTTCTGACAGGACAAATACTGGGGTGACTGTGGCAGCCAGCAAAGTCAGCAGGAAGCTAAGTGTCTCAAACGAAAGGCTTTGAAAACCAGTGATGTGCTGGACAACCATTTGTATCTGAAAGGCAGAGCATTTTGAAAAGTAAATCGCTTCTGGCACATGAGACACTTCCAGGAATAAACAAAACATCTCACTATGAATATGACACAACTAAAAGACATAGGTTGTCATTAATGTTTGCTGAGCCTGACAATTTTGTTTCTTACAGAGAGTGGAGAAAACACAGCGACAGAGGCTCTCCTCCTCATTCTCCATTTCTCAGAAAAACCCTTGCTTAAGCTAAATATAGATGCTTGAGCACTATTACAACAACTCACAAACCAAGCAACTTAGAAGAGACTGCTAGCTCAGTCCCTCCTGCACGGTACTGAGGAGCCCCAGCTCCTGATGGGGAACAGGGCAGAGAACTTCGTAGCACCCCGGGCTGCATGGCAAGTGCTCTGTAATGCTCCCTCCTGGGAGAGAAGCTCAAGTGCTGTATCCATACACATCCCGGGGCGGGGGCTAACACCACCCCAGACCCATGTTCTGTGTGCTCAGCAGACTCCTTTCTAACTGCACGCAAATGCACCTCTTCACAGATATCCTAGTGCATGCACACGGACAGCACCCCCTCCCCCCAATGCTACAGAGATTACACAGATATAATCAACCCTCATTTTTCTAACAAACTCCTATTTTTTAACCAGTCCGGCAAAGGACGTGACTCACAGCCGTGAGGAGGGGCAGGAGAGCTAGCTTAGTACGATTCACAGAGCTCACAATGCTGAACAAATGCCTGTCAGCTGGCAATACAAAAGGGTGAACCTTATTCATCCCTGTATTCAGGTGATACAAATGTGATGATAGAGTAACATACTGATGAATCAGGCCCTGCCAAACCAGCTGAAAACCAGTTAAATTCATGTAGTGCCACAGAGCTGCTTAAAAGGACTTTTGCTGGCACAAACTACATTATAAGGAACAATTGCAATGGCTACTGTTCATCTGTTTCAATACATGGCACACCAACTCACATCCCATTTAAATGTAAGGAGACATTAGAAAGTAAAGCAATCTGAGAATTTACCATCATTGGAAGCCAGAGAATGACTTTTGTCAGTGCAAGAATCAGAGAGAACCGTTTCTGGGCAAAGCCCACCGTGAAGCTCCTGCTCTGTACGCTGTCCATGCAGCGGGGCTCAAGTGCACTGCTCTCAGCCACCCCTTTCCTAAAAACTGCCTCCGAGCTTGGACATGTGCTCTGGAAGTGCTTCAGGGTTTTATCGGCAGAGTCCACCGGTGACAGCGATGGGGTAGCAGTGCTGCAGCCTGCAGGCGTCCCAGGGGTGGTGTAGCCTCGAGAGATTTCCTGGTAATCAATGTGGAATAGCTGTTGCTCATCTGAGCACAACAGCTGGTAAGTTAGAGGAACAGACAGCACTGTGAGAAGGCAAAAGCACAGCGAGTAGACAATAAATAAAAACAAGATGTAGGAACTGGCACAGTCAGTGAAGCAGCCCCAGGAGGTGGGGATGTACTTGCCCCAACCACAGAGAGGCAAAATGCAGATCAGCAAACTGACAATCCAAATGGTAAGGATGGCCCATACCATGCTCACTCGTTGCTTGGAAGTGCTGCAGCTCATTGTCTCAGTTTTGTTGATGGTGTAGAAGTTGTAAGAAATTATAAGAGACCCTTTCAGGTTGCTAGAAATGCCCTGGAATAAATATATAAGCGCTGAGGTGGTGCACAGAGGCTGGGGGAGGACATCAGTTGACCACTGGGTGAGCATGAAGATAATCACTGGCACGATGCTGATCAAATCGTCTATTGACAAAGAGGTCACAATCATTGAAACCGTGGTTTTGTTTTGCGTTTTCAGCAGGGAAACTAGTGAATAAATGCTGCCCAGGAGTGCTGTGAATGCAATGATAAAAGTCAAGCAGAATAGAAAGACATTCAAAGTTCTCTGCTCACTAGGCTTATCCATAGCACTATGATTTTCAGTGAAGAAGCTCGTCCCATTGTGTGACAAATTACTAGGCGTTACCGACATTGTCCTTGGCAATTTTTTTTGCCTTCTCACTGACTCTGCAAGTTTTCACTAGCTGAAACCAGAACTGTTAGCTCCACATCACAAGTTTCTTTGTTTTCCTAGACTCTCTTTTGTGGTATCTCATGAAGAAATATTCCGGTGAAAGTACCCTTGATAACCAGAACAACTCATGCTCTTAAAAAATCAGGCAACAATGAAGTACCAAAGGTGCTGAAAAAAATGCAATTCTTCATAAGCCTTTCAGTACTGGAAGATGGTTAATTTAGGCTCTTCAGGTAATAACATGCCATTCACTTTTGACAGATATCAGGCAGTGCGCCTTACTCACGAGTTCAGTTGAAACGAAGGCAGAATATCAGGTGTATTCAAGCTCTAGTAGCTCAGGGAGAAACATAGTAGAAATGAGAGGCTGTTGGATTCACCCTGCGCTGTTCTGAGCTGCAGGAGGGAGGAGTCGGGTGCAAGCAGGATAGCAGAGGCGAGGGGAGCGAGTATCTTCTCAGACGGAGCTGCCTCTTTGCTGGATCAGAAGACAGTGTCCCTGCTAAGCCACACCTCCGATGCCGACACTGAAATCCAATGCAAATACTCAGATCTGATGTCAGCCGTAAGTGTCATTCCCGTAAAGCCCAGGGCTGCTCCAGGGCTGTGCATCACGAGCTCGAGCGCTGCTTTGATTCTTTCGCACTTCTGTACTCCAAGCGTAGCCAGGGGAAAAGCCGCAGGAGCCTTTTATGAAGATGAAGCAGAAGGGGTGTGTCTGCTTTGCCTTTTTCTGTTCCTACTCCTACCGCAAGTGTGCCTGTGTATGTGCACACGCTGCACAGGGACGCTAACCGTATAGTTACGTAGTGACAACCTCTAATGACATTAGGGACCACGCATGTTAGCCAGGTGTTGCCTGCCTATGTGGTCTCTCAACTCAGTCTGGGATTTATAAAACTTTCATTCCCTGCATGATTCAAATCTGAGCCGCATCAAACGCTGACTGTCTGCTCTAGCTGAATACATGGACAGAATCACAGCCCAGTGCATTTTGGCATGTTATGAATGTTTTCTCTTGAGAAAGTGCGATACTGGTCAAACTTATAAGCTGACAAAATTTCCAACACTCAGAAGTGGACAGATAGATTCAATGCATTCTCCTCTGAGCAGCCTGGGCTGGTGGAAGGTGTCCATGCCCACGGCAGGGTGGTTGGGACTAGATGATCTGTAAAGTCCCTTCCAACCCAAGCCGTCCTAGGATTCTTGGAGGACTCTGTCTCTTTTCCTTTTGGCACCACTTTGAGTTCAAATACGCAATGGGGATGCAGGACAAATGTTTTCTGATTAAGGGTAATATCGTGAGGCTGCTGCGATTGCTTGCTAGTCTGGGTAACATTACAGATAAACTCAGTTAAAAATCTGTGCTATTAACCACCTGACTCTTGCCCAACTCTACCCACTTTGAAATGCATTAGCTGCGTCAAGCCAAGAGCTGGCTTGCTCGGGTGGTTTCCCTCCTGCCAGGGCAGGGCAGGGCTGAGGGCAGTGGCTCTCAGGGGTGCTGGAGCCCCAGGCGGGACAGGCAGCGGAAGAGAACGCCCAGCCACAGCGGTAGCATGTGACGAGAGCCCACGGGTCAGAGCTAAGGGCAGTGACAGCTCCTCTGAATAACCCCTCCTTCATCGGGGATTTCCAAGCTGCCCTGCTGTGGCGCTGGGAAGGCTCATGCCCCACCGCGGGCTCGGCTTCCAGTCAAGCCGGCGGGCCCCGTTACAGCCACAGAACTGGCCTTGCTTCAGGACCTGTCGCAAAGCCACCCTCCTCCTGCGCAGCCTGAGCGGGAGCCTTTGCCTCTCCATTCTCTCTTTCACATCGCAGCTGCCTCCCTTTTGAGCATTCCGCATTATTTATCAGGACCAACTGGCAACCCTCATGTCAGAAATTTGAAAACGAGAGGAGCATCCATCCTGCCTTCCACACAAGACACAGCCCTGGATCGGGACCATCCATCTGGCCTTTAACCGTACAGGATTTGACTTGGCTTTTGTGATTTATCTGTCCTGCTGGACTATTGATTGTTAATCTGTGCTGTGCCAGCTGAAGGCCAGGGCTCATTTCCTTCTATTTACAATTCACAGTCACCTCTGCCCCCACAAGTCAACTTTAAATTAAGCTCAGTATTCTAAATCTAAAGATTAACAGTATGAGCCTGGTCAGAACTACAGTCAAGAGATAAGAAGAGAAAGAAACATCACTCACCCTTGTTTGGACCTTTATTTTTCAGCCTGTCTTCTTCAGGAAACACACGACCACACTGCCTGAGTGCGGATATATGCGTATGCATCTCTCTCTCTTCCACTCCCCATCCCTCAATTCCTTTTGACAAAATGATCATTTTCATCTCAATCTGACAGTGTCAAAGCTATTAAGTTCGCACAAGTTTTATGAAAATGATCAGCTGATCAGAGGAGACAGATCACAGCAGGCTGCAGCAGAGTTCCCTCTTCACTAGAAACCAGTGAACACAAAGCAAAGGCTTTATAAATACTCCAACCATAAAGAAAGCTTCAGCTGAAATTTCAATTAACCTGGATGCTAAACTGTGGGAAACCAATTTCATTCACTCTGGCATGTCTTAGTGCTTCCTGATGGTTACTTTCATTCTTAAATTCCCTGTTTCCATTGCCCATTGCCAGGTGTTTAGAAACAATTTTAATGATGCTTGGAAAATCTATTTTCCCTACTTCAGAAAATTTTTCTCCTGCTTCCAGAGCCATTATACCTACACTGGATGTCCAATAGCCCTGATGGCAGATACCAACCACAAATTTTCTGAAAGTTCCCTCAGTACAGTCCTCTCCACACACCTTACTGACCTTGCTTTACTGGCTCTCTGCCTCTCTGGAGCTTTTGGCACACTTTGGTAAGAGCAGTCTGCTCTGTGCCTTCCGTTTGTATTTGGAATGAAATGCTCATCAGTGTTTTTAAGAAGAAAGTCACATTTATTTCTCGCCCTACTCATTCAAGGCAGATGACATACTACTCACTTCAGTTTATCTTCCCACAGAATGTATTTTATTATATGAACTGCACCTTGCCATTCTCTGTGGCAGCGTTTATCATAACTTACAATATGGTGAAATGTTCTTTCCTCTGGTCATTTCATAGTTATAAACTGAAGGTCTTAGGAGCAATGAATCCAAGCAGCTTCCCTCCTTATTTATCTTTCTTTAACATGACTGATAAATTCCGACCAAACATGTACAGAAAGATCAGTTTCATCTTAAAACTAAAGAGAGAATTTGGCTGTGGTAAGAAACAAGCAACTCTACAAAGAGAAGTGTGATTTTCCACACAGCTGTGCCTCCAGGTAGTTGACTTGCATACCCAGTAAGCTCTAAGCTCTGAAATTTCTCTTGTGGCTGAGGCAAATGCATCTGAATTACATTCTCTGATCTCTTCTAAAGGACGAGTTTATATCACAGTCTTTCAAAACATACAGGAACACTATCTTTGTCATTGTAATTTTACTTCCAAATTTCCCTGAAATTCGAGGACAGTCTCAACTAGGTCTGGGGGTGGCAAGGACAGGTAAGCGAGCAGAGCGGTAGAGAGTGTCGTCACAACCCCTCTTCTCCCACATTTTCTAAAGAAACAGTGCTAGAATGGAATAATAGAGCACTGCCAAAAAGCCATGGATAATGCTCTTGCAGAAATCAAGAGAAAGAAAAAGACACTGTCGTCTGCTGCCGTGTCCTTGGTTTGGACTGTGTCAGGGCAGGCATGAATCTGTAGATGAAGATCCTTATTAACTATTCTCTTTCTTCTCTGCATTAAGCCTCCTGAATTATGGGAGGTTCCTAACACAACTACTGTCCTCTGCAATATAGGTATATATTCTTTATCTTGGTGTGAATTGTTTTTGCTAAGGAATGATCACAAGAGAAAATACATTAGGCATGGAAGTCTCCTCTCTGGCCTCATTTCAAACAGCACTGCACAACGAGGTCTCTTTAAAGGAAGAGTCAGAACTACTTGACAGTCTACGAAAGGATTTCGAAGAGACACACTGCATGTAACGATTCAGAAATGCTTGTAAAGAGAATCAAATATTCCCTATTCATAAAATACAACCAACAAATAAGGTGTTAAAAATTTATCCTACTTAGTGTATGAGTCACATTTTATTTTCATACCTTGCACTAAGCTAAGCTTTGACTTATGATTTTGCTTCCTTTTGCCACTCACAGGAGACAAGCAGCTGGGCAAATATTTCATTTCAGAAGGTGATATAAACACTGTGCCAGGCATAAACATATATACATAAAATTCCAGAGATGTCTTTGTAATTTATTCCTCAATAACATGTGAAAGAAAATGTTTTCCTTTTTTCTAGAATTTTTTTAACAGACTTTTAAAAGATGTCAGACTAAATGATCATTTTTGGTCTAATGGACCCAGACATCACTTTCAGATACAAGATGGTTAAACTGCAGGTAATTATTTCATCTAGTCATTTGCCTCAGATGAATTAAATCAATGGTGGCTTCTAATAAAAGACAGATACTCTTATACTTAATCCATTTCCGCTGCAGCTGTATTGCTGTGCTGTAGGAAAAGGGTGCGTACTGATTTGGAGCAATGTAAATCAGGAGTAATTCCATTAAACCTAAAAATATGATTTAACTTATGTGCTCATTATGGGCTAGACTGCACCAGCTCAAACTCAAGCGAAACAGAGCCTTGCTGTGCAGAAGCTCCTTTTGGAACCACCGGGTTATCATTCCTTGCGGCCGTGCATCCCAGCCTGTCCCGCCGTGTCTCTCAGCAGACGGGCCGGCTTTAACCAGCGCCCGTTGCCACAGCTCCTGAACTTCTGGCTTTTGCTCCCGTGCTGTAAATACAGACCGTAAATTGAGACTGCAACGAACCGAACGTTTTTGGCGAGCTGCAGAATTGGTAAGAGACAAGCGGAGCTAGAAGCGAGCGAGCCCCGAAGCATCCCTGGGGCGAGGTACAAGCACGGCGTGCGGCGCGCGGCTTGCCCCAGGAGCTGCAGGAGCCTGCAGCCAGCCCGCCCGCGGGAGTGAGAACAGTGCCAGTGCTTCAGCGAGGCTGCTATAAACAAGGTGGCTGAGAGATGAACCCGTCCAGGTTGCACTCTACGCGCTACCAGAGATGACTGTGTGCTGTTATTCAGGAAATGCCCCAAGTGGGACCAACTAGAAGAGAAACAAGCAATTATAAAATAATAATTCCAGGATGGCAATGCTGAAAGGGAAGAGATATTAGGCATGCAGTGTATTCAAGGAGGAGAAAGGGTCACTTCTAGTCAGGAAGATGCTGTTTCTCTAGTGGATGGCAAGGCAGAGAGATGGTAGAAATACTCGCCGCTACCAAAGTGGAGAGGAACTCAATTCTAGACAGCATGGAGAGTAAGACATTCTGCTAGGTGTGGCGTAATT